TGTTTAGTCTATTTGAAATTTAGTCACACAATTTTGCTAAGATAGCATATTTCATGGACGAACTTATTCTTGAAATTTGAAAAATCTGCTGAGGATAAAAATTCTGAAATCCGAAAAAATCGTCAGCAATGTTGAAGTTAAAGATTCAATTATCAGAAAATGTCCAGTCCAAAATGACACACTACCCTTGCATAGCCTTGGACATTAGAAAAAATCCAAAGAATCTGGCTTTTTGGTTAAATTATTAATATTGATCACGTGCTCTCAAGTTGTATATTGTTGTTAATATAGTTATTTTTATTATTATTATTATAATAATTATGAATATTATCTTTGTTTATTATTGTGTGATCTTTAGTGTGATTTTTCCTTGTGTGATATTTCTCAACTTTTAACTAACCACATCAACTCTTCAACAGACATATTAATGTAATACTTTGTATATAATATCAATTCTATTCATTGTAAAACATGGGGAAACGTAAAGCAGGTTAAGAGATACAAGTTATGTTAATTTCGAAAATTATGTTAATATGTGGTTTAATGAAAACTATGTTAATTTACAAGAAAAACATAAATACTGAAAACTATTAATGTTATTTTACAGTACTTAAAACTATGTTATTTTTGGGAGACTTTTATTACATTAAAAACTGACTGTTATTTTTGGATTATAACTTAAAACTATTGTTGTAATGAAAACTATGTTATTTTTTGGAAAATTATGTTATTTTTTGGAAAATTATGTTATTTTTAGGTAACTATTTTACTTTTCTGCAACTGTTACTTTACCAAACTATGTTATTCATGGACAATTATGTTCTGAAATAGTTCAAACTTTCTACCAGAAATTATGTTTTAGTACTGAAAACTGAAAAAAAACTCTGTTCTTTGATGTAATTGTATGTATATGGAATAGCAATAACTGAGTATTGTTGTAAATTACAGGGATAACAATTCCTAATTTTATGAGAAAAAAATTATGTATATAATAAGTAAAAAAAAAATTATCCACTTTCTGTAAAGCAAAAAAAGTAAATTTATTATTGCTGGTATTGTTAATGTACATTAATAAGAAGTTAATGTTTTTAAAAATTGTTTATGGATTATGTTTGTATACAAACAACTGTATTGTTATTGACAAAATGGCAACTGTTTGCCTTTTTCACTAAAAAATTAACCTCATTTTGCTTCTAAACTAGTCACTAAAGAAACAACATATAATTTATATTTCAAAAACTAGTCATTCAAGTATATTTCTTTCCAAAATTTTCATGGCCTGACCATTGGACCTTTTTTAACCCTGGCCCCACTTTGTTATCGTGTAGAGAAAATGACAGTTACTTGTTAATTCAGCATTCTGATGTACATAATTGTTCTATGTCATTTTAGCACTTTAAAACCTTGGTAGTATTTTCAAGAGTATTAGGACCCATATTTGTCCAGTAGGCCTGACCACTTTGACCATTTCTAGTGCAATGTGACCTTGTTGGGGAGCACGTGACCAAGCAAATCCTATTGGCTGGTCCTCATACCAGGAGATAAAAACAATGCAATGTATTTTTGTGGTGTACAATGGTTTTCTATGTATAACAAGATTTATGAACAGCAGTTGAAGGCAAAATATTGTGAATTTGTATTCTTACAGATTACAATTCTATAATAATTGTCTAAAACGGTTTTCCATATATCATATGACCTACTTAATGAGAATGAGTTTGTAGGAATTTTAAATCTAATGTATAAAGAATAATTAAAAAAAAATGAAATGTATTATTTTGATATGACAGTATTTTTGCATTATCACCTTTGGGATGACTTTGGAACCAAGGCTATATGGAAGACGTTGATTATTCTTTTATAATATATTCCTTTTGTTAAATGGAAAGTTATTTGATTGTTTTCACAAATGTTACATGGGAAGAAACTTCGTTGGTATATTGAAGTGATTCTTCAGTCAAATTATTGAAATTGTATTGCTAAATTTAAGCTGTACAAGAGTGTTGCCAAAATCATGATTAAAAATGATCTATAAATTATACTCGTTTTTATTTAGTTTATCCCAAGAAGACCTCTTTTCAGACTCCCGTGCCAGTCTGTAAATATGCAAAAGAACACACAATCCGGTAAAGATGTTTGTGTACACCTAAGAATTATTTAAATCGTGAAAATGATCTAAACTCTGGATAGTTAGTAATCAGTACAAGTCCTTCTTATCACCCTATCGCACTCCAAAAGTAATTTGGTTCTATCCGAATAACTTTCATTTGTATTCGCACTGGTTCTATCCGAATAACTTTCATTTGTATTCGCACTGGAAAATAAACTTATTCGGTAATACCAGAAGTCATCCAAATAGAAAAATCTACCTACAGAGGTAGATTTTGTCTGGGTGCGATCCAGATAATTGGCAGTGCGAAACCAACAGAGAAGTTATTTGGAAAAGAATATTACTCGGTTATAACCGAATTCAATAATCCAGTTGTGCAGTGTGAAAGGGGCATTAAATAGTTTCAATGACTATTTATGCGCTTCCTCGTAATTCAGTGGACTATTCGTTTTAATGGTTTGTATCAGACCCAAATGTATACCAATATCCATGCTTAGTTGAAGTTGCCTAATTATGTTCGTAACCAGCAGATTTGATGCCGGCATCACGTGAGCACCAAAGATATGAAAGCTTCCTTGAAATATAAAAGCTACCACGAAATATTAAAGCTACTTCGAGACATTCAAGCTTTTGTGAAAGATTAAAGCTACCATAAAATATCAAAGCTACATGTAGACATTAAAGCTATCATGGAATATTTAAGGTACCGTGAGACTTTCAAGCTTTCATGAAATATATCAGCTATATTGAAAACTTAACCTACCACAAATTATGAACGCTGTCGTGATATAAAGCTAACATGAAAATTTATAGCTGCCATGAAATATTGAAACTACCACAAAATATGAAAGTTGTCGTGATTAAAGCTACCCTGAGACATAAAAGCTGCCATGAAATATAACAGCTGCATTAAAGCACAAAACACATTGAATTTCATATGCGGAAACCATATTTTTGAACAAGATTTAACCCTCCCTTCCCCGAAATCTAATTGATTAATCAAAACTAGGGTTGACCCTAACTTTAACTCCAGGATTAAACCTCACTTACCCAAACCACTTTAACCCCTTTGGATTCACTGGGGTATAAATTGTTTCGCGCTCATTTAAACCCCTTTGTTACTCTTTTTCCCGACAATTTTAAGTTGAGAAGATGAGCAAGGAAGTGTTCTTTCGTTCCATAGGCGGAAACCATATCTTGGAACAAGCTTTAACCTTTTCCCGAGCTAACCCTAATTGATTTTTCAAAACTATCGTTAACACCAACCTTAACCCTAGGGTCTAAGTCTCGGTGGCCTAGTGGTTTGCGCACTAGCATGGCAACTTTGGGGTCCCGGGTTCGGATCCCAGATAAAGCTTTTTTAAAAATTCTTTTTGCCGTCTCAAACACCGTCTCTTCTATCATTTTAATTATACAAAAGAGGTCTGTGAAATCTAGAATGGCCTAACCCTAGGCCTAACCAAATCGTCCACTTTAACCCCTTCGGAACCACTGGGTATAAATTGTTTCGGACCCATGTAAATCCCTGTGTTATTCTTTTTTCCGTACCATTTTGTGTTGAGAGGATGTGTGACGAAGTGCTCTTTCATCTCCTATGCGGAAATCATATCTTGAACCATAGGTTTCGGTGGCCTAGTGGTTTGAACACTTGCGTAGAATCTTTGCCAACACCGTCTTCCATGACATATTAAAGCTATTGTGAAATATTGTAGGTACCTCGAGAGATATATCAGTATTGATGTAATATTAAAGCTACCATGCAATATTGAAGCTGCTATGAAATACAGCTATAGTGAAATATTAAAGCTATTATGAGATATTACAGCTTGTGTAGGATTTTTAAAGCACACTATCAAGAAATATTAAAGCTATTCTGAAACCTTCGAGAAATTTTAAATCCACCATAACATAGTTTCACCCATAAAAGCGATTTCCTTAAAAAAAAAATTACTATTCACGCCTGTTCGTCAATACGTCAGCGCTATGTAAGTAACTAAAGTTTCAAACTAATATAAATCATGACCAATGTAAATACGCAAAACCGAAAAGTGTCATTTTTTTTATTAGTTTATAAATATTAAGTACACAAAACTGCAAATATAGTAATAAAACACAGAGATATGTTAAAAATGATGGGAAAGCCCTAAAGTTCCATAAGTTCCATAAGTACCGGATAAATAATATGACTGGTAAATAGTGGATAAAAATTATACGTAATGAATATTGAATAGCAAATAATATTGTCAGCATTTATAGCCTAAGATATAACAAGCAAATAATAACAAAAGTTCCATAACACATAAGAAATAACATGAGATAAGTCACATAAGATTCATATTAAGTTCCAAATGATTCATATTGATCAAATTCTGTAAGACGGCTTTAATACCACTCCTTCTTTCCTCTTTTCTTCGATATATTGGAATGGATTCATAAACTGAAACATAAACATAACTTTTTACATTTTTGAACAAACCTGTCCTGCAATTAGATTTCCACATTGCAAAACCAGTATGTTGCTAGCGTCTGGTTATTCAAGCAATATTTTGTCTGAAGGAATCTAATTGACGAGAAGTACCAATCAAAATTAATGACGAGAATATGGGATTGTGTGAGCAACGATGGAATATTGATAATATACAACCGTTGCTAAAGGAACTTAACTAAAAGACCGATTGTCTTCTAATTTCAATACTTGTACATATACAGAAATACGCTGTATCTCGTCAATGATGAAGTCGTGCGCTGGATACTAAATACTAATTAATTTTTTTTAAATAGAGAAATACACTGTATCCTGCCAATGATCAAGTCGTTCGATAGATACTTAATCAACTGAATAATTTATTACTGTTGCCTATCTCAGTAATTTGATTTGGAAATAAATAATTCAGATTACCTTGCGTTCTATTGCGTTACATTTTTTAAATGTAAAACTATCTTTGAATCTAGTGTTGGATAATATTGCAACCAAACCGGCATCAACCACGATCGATTCACCTTTCTGAAACAGAAAATCTGATGATCTTACTTTAGTATTATTATTTAACAGAGGGTATATACAAATACAGAAATTATTTTGCTCTGATGAGGACTAAATAAACCCTTCCATTTTTGGAATGTAGGGAACAGTTGAACGTAGTATCCTAATTTGTTGTGGTTTCTCTTGATCATCAAATTCCAATTTACCTTGAATACGGTGTTAATATCCCAATAGTAACTATCTTCACATCCTGATATGTTACCATTATATGTCACTTCCGCCGCAGTACTCGTTACGTCTTTTGGAAGCTTGAACATCCTCCACTCACCTCTGGCAAATTGAGCAAAACCTTTAAAATATGTTTAATATGGTTAAAAAGTGAAGGTGGTTAGCAGAAAAATCTGGCTATCAGGTAAGTTGCAATACACAGCTCACTATATAGGCCGCATTTAACAGTTAAAATACACTCATTAAACCATAAGCCGACAAATTCAAGTAATATTGAATTCTTGAATAGATACCCAACATAACAACTAAAAGGTCATTGAGCAACACACACTTTTCATTCAAATCAGCTTGATATCTGTCAGTAAATTCCTAGTTTTTAGTGTCTTGAGAATCCACCGAGTTCTTCTTCAATCTTCTTCAATAGCTGACAACAGAAAGCAAGAAGCCATTAGAAGAAGAAACCCAAGACAATTTCTCATATCATAGTATCATAGTTTACCTGTTTTTTTATGAAGATCTTTATTTTGAAATTCTACGGGAGCAGCACCAACTAAATAAGGTTTAGTAAAACCAACTGATGTAGCTAACTCGATCATTTCATCCCACCTCATAGAACAAGCTGTTCCTAAAGCTAAGAATAGATAATAGTATAAGGTGTAGCAATATATATATATATAATTCAACCAAATTACATTCGGTTTCTTGTACATGATCATCTTTGTCACAATTTCAGGACACATGGAAATAAAAGCCAAATTACCAAAGTGATGGTTCAAATTTTTGTTACAGATAAATCTTGGCTGTTCAGATTGAAAACCTTTCGTCCTCTTCAAATAAACCATGAAAGGAAATCCAACAAATCTGGTTCCACCCATTCTCCAGATGTCTGGGTCGAAGCAACTCCCATAAAAATTTTATGTCCGGCTCTAAACGTGCCGATATCCCATACATATATTACGTTCGAAGAAAGGAGAAGGCTAGATATATCAGGCTACCATAAGAAGGTAATTACTTGATGTCGTGGGTGAATCGGAGATGTTAAACTTAATTCAACTGTATAACTTACAGATTAATCTCAGATTTTGAAGTATTTCTTTTGGTCGATCTCGGTCAGCGTATATATCAGATAAAGAGAGCTCCCCACCAACCTGTTCAAAGATAAAAGGCATTGTTTGATTTTAAACAAAAGTATTGAAATCTCGGTTTGAACGGTTGCTTGTAGTTAGATAAGGGTAGTCTCACTTGAAACATAAAAAAAAAATCGCCCATAAAAAAAAACATAACCTGCATTTTCCTTTCTAATGGCGACATGAAATTTGCCAGATCCGAAGGGATGAAAAAAGAGGTTGGGCCCCTCCCCCTTAAAGATATGCTGTCCTGCATTCTGAGATCTCCCCCACCCCCACGTCACCTATAAGTCAACTTTTCTGGGGATGTGGCCCCATACGAGTGGCCTTGGTTCAATCAGTCCCTATGAAAGTTGAGCCAAAATATCCAAGTAGGTATTTTGCTTATCGAGGGCAAAAATTTTTATAGATAAACGTTCAAAGTATAACTCATCCCAGAACTAAGCGATATGCCAAAGCAGTTTGTCAAAATTCGTTGACTTTTCATAAAGCTCAAGACTGTCTAGTTTGGCTCGCTCAGTTCTAAACAATTCAAAATGGATTTCTTGTAATGAGTAGTCTACATAAGAGTTTTGATGTGTACCTTTAACAATCTGTAGATATTTTCAAAAACTGCCCTTTTATTTGGACATAAACATATCACTCCATATGACCTATAAAAGGCGAAATATTAAATATGTACTTTAATATCATAATATGTCAGAAATGTGACATATCCAAGTTAAACGTGTTAAATCATCAAACCGTATATTTCTGCTACTAATAGCATACACCAGCTGTTAAATATTACTTTGAATTTTAGCGAAATGACTGCAAACAAGCAATTTAAACACCACATTATCAGTGATCCGAGAGTTATTCTGTGGAACACCTTCCGTTATGTGCACTTTTTCACCGTTTTATAAACGCAAATCATCCCTTAACCAACAGAAATACAGTACTTACAATACCATGTCCAATTTTCCTTCAAGATGTTCAACTTCATCAAAATTTTCAACATTAGCTACTTTAAATTCTACATTGGAATTCTCAAAGCCCCATTTTTCACGATGATATTCCAATGTTTTGTTGGCTTCATTTATCTATAATGCAGAATACAGATGATGTGTACAATCGTACTTTGTACATTTATATCAATTTAAGGCATTACTCCACAGGACTTGCAGCGGGACAGCTGACGATGAATATTTAAAGCTCCATCAGCTTGCCTATTCCAGAACATGCATTTTATTATGCGTTGGTGTTAAAAGTGGGCATTTTAATGGTCAAAACAAACTGTGAAACTGACAAAAACAGGGATCCGCGGGAAAGAATCTTAAAGACCAACTTAGCAAGACTGACAACATCTGTTTTGTAACCTCTAGGTTGATGACACATGCGTTACTCCCGAAGAAGATAGCAAAATCGCTGTCTTATATGCTAGATAAGTTTCCTAAATTTTAAGTGACAATAAAACCAAACTTTTCTTTTCTTGAAGCCCTAAAATCATTGGATTTCATTGGGAATGGTAAAACCAACCAACCAGTGACGTATCGAGGATTTCATTAACGGGGCTGGGGTACATCAGAGTGACCCGCTCCACTTTACGGATTCTAGCGGGCACTAGTCATGGTTGGTGTCGCTTCTAATCTAGGAAGGCGAAGAATACATCTTAATGCGATTTTGGAAAGGTAACATTTTTCATGGGACCAAGCTTTGGGCTAACAATTGGAAACAATGAATCAGTACTCACTAGATTTGGCGAGATATCAACAGCAGTTATATGTCCTTTTGGTCCAACCAGCTTACTGAGTACATAGGCCATAACACCAGCACCGCACCCGAAATCTAAAATCTTACAGCCTTCTATTTTATCAGGTACAATAAAAGCTGAACCATAATTTCTTTTTAATATATCGGGATGAAGTTGACGGATTAAACCACGAACTGTTTGAGATAATCTCGGATTATTGATTTCACAAACAAAATCCAATTTCTCAGAAACATCATCATAAAAATCTTTGATCCTGTTCGAGATATCATTGCTTTCGGCCATGTCTGAATTAAGGGAATATCCGTGAAACACGTGTACTGATCAAAGAGTCCAAAGTTTGAAAGTCGTTACCAATGCTCACTCGTTGTGGAGAATTAATGAACGTACTCAGTCTGCACTGTAATATAATCAGATATAAGTGATGGTTCATCATTCAACTAGTCAGCAGTTTATGACACGACAGGAGAGATCCACATGGTGTTATATAGAAATTCTAGTCTTTAGTCAGAGTACCTGGTAAGTCCAACTGATGAATATAGACACTTGTTGACCAAGTTTGAAACTTTAGATTTTTATATCCACCGTAAGAGGCAGTAATCCATTAATATGTGAAAAATGTGAGATGTGCTTTCAAGCGGAAATTGGACTGTGACCCGAAAAAGAGCTAGTGTTGCGCTCGAAAATATGTGCCTATTGTCTGAGCAAAGTCAAAATTTGATTGATACAAATAAAAACATGAGCGCACATTATGTCTTCAAAATTTGTCTTTACATAGAACAATTGTCGGCCAAAATTTGTTACTTTGTTGGTTGACATTTTTGAGAGAAGTGTGTTTTCAATGTAAACTTTATAAAACATTATATTTTCATCTACAAAGACATTCTAAGACTAAAGTACTAATTTGAGGCTGATATTCCAATTCATTAAAAAATACAGTAAAATTCAATAAAAAAATTTGCTTTGCTCAGACATGCGCTTTCCGAGCATATTGTATGCCCATCTCGTGTGTATGCGTACGTCTGTCCTAAGTATAGGTTAATGGTCGAAAGCAGTCCAACGAGTTCAATAATTACCTTGCCACAAGGTTCAAAGGTTCATTATTGGCATTGGCTTTCGACCATTTATGTACTTAAAATACAGATTTCACAAGCGATGAACTGTAGGCCAAACCCAGACACGTGCAATATTAGAGGTCGTGTGTGGTCAAATCACTTAATATAACAAACAAATACAAAATAATTATTAAGATATACGTGTACTCCATTTAGAGGAAAATCGCGGTGAAGGTCATTGGTGCATGCTTTTGTTTATTGTAGACTTTAGGCATTAGTGGATGTAGGTATTACTGGACACATGCATATATATCTTTGTATAACTATATATGTACCCAGCAGATCTGCTATTGTCAGCACATAATCACCAAAGGCGTCCGTGAAATATCCGTAATAGTGAAATATTAAGGCTATCATGAGATATCATGAAAGTTTAAAGCTGCCTTAAGACAGTAAAGCTGTCGTGAAATGGATTAGCAGTAGTATATGTGTTTTCTGATATAGCGCATCCAGTTTGATCCGGTTTTTGAG